GTCAAGCTTGTCTGTGACAAGTTTGGATGAGGATATGTGCATAGGGGCACCAGGAACAGGGGAACAGCAGCTAGGCCAGTTGGATAAAGCCAGATCATAGACTTTTAATGCCAAAGAGGTTGGTTGTGAGCTTGTGGACAGTGAAGGTTAGTGTAGGCTTAGACACTTGTCTTGTGCTTATATGAAGTTGGCAAGCTCAGGCCTGGGCTTTGGGTCTGTTTCTGAGGAAGGAGGAAGGGAGACCAGGGGCCTGATAGTCTGTTGTTCTCCCCTATATTGCAAGCTCCAAGAGGACAAGGATTTTGGTTGTTTTCGTCTAGCTATTCCTAGCACCTAAAACTATGCCTAGCACTTAGAAAGCAAAGACGAGTAATTGTGTTTGGAATGTGAAGTGTATCCTAGGGCAGCCTAAATGTAACCAAGACCCAGGATTAACTAATCTCACCTGGCTGTCTTAGAGCCCCTGATCTGACCAGTGGGGTCAGCTTAAGAGTGTGGTTCACCAAGAAGCAGAGAAGAAGGTGCCCTGTGGTAGGAAGGGAGGAATGGGTGGTAACTCTGTGGCTGACTGATCCCCACTTCTGAGCCACATTATTTTCTCTTCCTTCCTGGGAATCCTAGAACTGCCTGATAAAGAGGGATGAGAATGGTTACTCTGCAGTGGTAGCTGACTTTGGCCTGGCTGAGAAGATCCCCGATGTCAGGTATGTAGCCCTACTGGATGCTGGGGTTCAAGGGACATGGGGTGAAGCTAAGGGAAAATTCTAGCCTCCTCCCCAGAGGCCAGGACTTGGTCACAGCTCAACTTCAGCTCCCTAAATTTGGTTAGTCCTTGCCTATACCCATCCTTGGGGTGGAGGAATGGTCAAAAGATTCCATTGCACCAGCCAATGGCAAGCTCATTTTCTGTATAATCTCACCCCACAGCATGGGGAGTGAGAAGTTGGCCGTGGTGGGTTCCCCATTCTGGATGGCACCTGAGGTTCTCCGAGATGAGCCCTATAACGAAAAGGTAAGTTTTGAGGATCTCAAGGCCTGATTCTCCATTTTTTTTTTTTTTCTTTTTTTTGAGATGGTCTCACTCTGTTGCCCAGGCTGGAATGTAGTGGCACGATCTCAGCTCACTGCCTCCCGGGTTCAAGCTATTCTCCCGCCTCAGCTTCCCAAGTAGCTGGAATTACAGGCATGCGCCACCATGCCCTGCTAATTTTTTTTTATTTTTAGTAAAGACAGGGTTTCACCATGTTGGCCAGGCTGGTCTCAAACTCCTGACCTCAAGGGATCTGCCCGCCTCAGCTTCCTGAAGTGCTGGGATTACAGGCATGAGCCACCGCGCTCAGCCCTGATTCTCCTTAGAATCTACTCTTAGCAGAGTGTCCAAGATGTTCCTACTAAGAACAGGTAGATGTTCGTACAAGGTACCAGGGGTGTACCTGGCAGCTGCCCAGTGACTGACTTGGATGAAATATGGGCAATATTAACCCAAGCCTGGGTTGTTAGATGGGGGGGTGGGGCGAGGCAGAGGCAGGGGAAGATACCCTACCCCTCAGCCCATTAAGAGGGAAACCAAAGTCTGACTACCTACCAGGCAGATGTGTTCTCTTATGGTATCATCCTCTGCGAGATCATCGCCCGCATCCAGGCCGATCCGGACTATCTTCCCCGCACAGAGGTGAGCTGCAACCATGGGGATCATTGCTACTGATGGGGCTAGTTTGAAGCAATGAAACTGTTCTGTTCCTGGGGTGGACTTGCTGGAACTGTCTGTGGCTGGTTGTCAGGGGCAGCTCCCAACCTCTTCTACTGAGTAGACTAGGATGGGTCGGGGGATTAATGAACTGTCTACCTAGGCTTTCCATACCCATCCACAGAATTTCGGGCTGGACTATGATGCCTTCCAGCACATGGTAGGAGACTGTCCTCCAGACTTTCTGCAGCTTACCTTCAACTGCTGTAATGTGAGTGTCTTTCTCCCTCTGCCTTTCATCAGGGGCTGGTTGAACCCTTTTCATCTGGTTAGGACTGTACAGAGAGGCTACTAATTAGCTTCATGAGGGACCTCATTTTCTTTTTTTTTTTTTTTTTTTTGATACGGAGTTTCGCTCTTGTTGCCCAGACTGGAGTGCAATGGTGTGATCTTGGCTCATCGCAACCACCACCTCCCAGGTTCAGGCAATTCTCCTGCCTCTGCTCGGCCTCCCGAGTAGCTGGGATTACAGGCATGCACCACCATGCCCGGCTAATTTTGTATTTTTAGTAGAGACAGGGTTTCTTCATGTTGAGGCTGGTCTCGAACTCCTGACCTCAGGTGATCCACCCGCCTCGGCCTCCCAAAGTGCTGGGATTACAGGAGTGAGCCACCGCGCCCAGCCAAGGGACCTCATTTTCACTGTAGTGACAGCAACCACACCTCCTTCTCCTCCCTCTGGCTCTTAGCTAACCTATTCGGAGCCTTGGACCAAGGAAAGAAAAAAATTGCTTTGTATTATCTGGTCCTCAGCCTGTAGGATAGACCCATCACTCCTTGCCTTGGGTGTTGATGGAACTCTGGTCCAGTTTTATTGTTGGACTGTGGATCCAACTGGTCCTGAGGCATATAAGAAAGGCTCTTCTTGGCCTTCATATATATAGCTCTGGGGCTAGACCTTACCTGTTAGGATCAAGGGGTAGGTGGGCTTTGTTCAGATACCTCCCAGAAACACATTAGGAGCAGAACTCAAGAACAGAATAAACTAATATGAGCATACTTTTGGAAGGTTCTGTGACAAGGTGATAAGACAAACACTAAGACAGGGAGGGAAGTAGACAATAGTGTTTTCCCTGACCTGAACTGTATCTTCATTGTCTGGGGCCTTGAGAAAAGGTCTCTTAGCTGCACATCTGAATCTTCAAAGATGCCAGAAATAGACTCAAATGCCATCTTTGGGGTGGGAGATGGAGGGCAGGGCTCATGGCTGTTGTGTATACCTACAGATGGACCCCAAACTGCGCCCATCTTTTGTGGAGATTGGGAAGACCCTGCAGGAAATTCTGAGCCGCCTACAGGAAGAAGAGCAGGAGAGGGATAGGAAGCTGCAGCCCACAGCCAAGGGTAAGAGATTAGACCAGGGAGCCAAACCTAACCCTAAGGGAGGAAATTTGGATGTGGGGCCTTCTCCTCTTAGGATTGTGATTGCCAGGATCCCAGGTCCAGAAATAAAGGGGAGGGGAAGGAGATAACACAGAAAGTACTGGCCTCTTTAAGAGCTGTGGCTTAGCATACTGCTTCCCGTCTCCGAGTCTGTTTCTTCATTGGTGAAACGGGGCTGTGGTATCAACTTTGCTTTCATGAGTGAAAACATTCTGTGGTAAAATGCTGCTTCTATTTGTTATGACTAGTGAGAATAACCCAGACTTAATTATTCTTCAGGACTCTTGGAGAAAGCACCTGGGGTGAAGCGACTAAGCTCACTGGATGACAAGATCCCCCACAAGTCACCATGCCCAAGACGTACCATCTGGCTGTCTCGAAGCCAGTCAGACATCTTTTCTCGTAAGCCCTCACGTACAGTGAGCGTCTTGGACCCATACTACCAGCCACGAGATGGTGCTGCCCGCACCCCCAAAGTCAACCCTTTTAGTGCTCGCCAGGACCTCAAGGGGGGCAAGATCAAGTTTTTTGACCTGCCCAGCAAGTCTGTCATCTCTCTGGTATTTGACCTGGATGCACCAGGGCCTGGAACTATGCCCCTGGCTGACTGGCAGGAGCCCCTGGCCCCACCTATTCGCCGGTGGCGTTCCTTGCCTGGTTCGCCTGAGTTCTTGCATCAGGAGGCTTGTCCATTTGTGGGCCGGGAAGAATCGCTATCTGATGGGCCCCCACCACGCCTAAGTAGTCTCAAGTACAGAGTTAAAGAGATCCCACCATTCCGGGCATCTGCCCTACCAGCTGCTCAAGCCCATGAGGCTATGGACTGCTCCAGTCTCCAGGAAGAAAACGGTTTTGGGTCCAGGCCCCAGGGGACCAGTCCATGCCCTGTGGGTGCTTCTGAGGAGATGGAGGTAGAAGAAGAAAGGCCAGCAGGCTCAACTCCAGTCACCTTTTCCACCTCAGGCATAGGCCTGCAAACCCAGGGAAAGCAGGATGGGTGAGGGGGGTTAGTCCCTGCCTCACCTTGGGGATGGACCTTCAGCTGAAACCATATGGCCCCCTAGGTGCACAGCCTTGATTCTTCTCTGGAGCCTACAGAGTAGGCAGGCTAGGCCAACCCAGGCTCAACTTCTGGGCTCCCAGTGCCCATTGGCTGTGTATGATAGGGGAGGCAGGAGTGAGAGGCCTTCCTAGTTAGGGCCAACAGCTGATACCAAGCCTCTGAAATCTGGCAAAGAGGTCTGCCTCTCACTGGACCCCCTCCAGTGCACTTCCCCAGACAGGACCAGAGGATGTCTAGTTCTAGGCTGAGCTGGCAGGCAGCTATTACCCCGGTTCTTTCCCCACCCCAGGTCTGTCTCTTGCCCTTTCTTGGGGCATGTAAGCTACTGAGTGGAACATGGAGCTGACTAAGAGGGCATAATGGGCATGGCTGTTTCCCAGACCTGAAGATTGGGGTGCTTCTTGCCAGTATTCTAAGACACTTGAGTAATTGCTGTTTGCACTTACTGCATGGTCAGACCACGTCACTACGTTTCTATGCAAGGGGAGAGCAAGGCAGTGTTGTGGTCATGGCTCTTAGCTAACCTATTCAAAGACCTTTTTCCCATTGATTAATCTATTTTCATATTTATAAAGGAGTCTTAATGTTCTGCCCCATAAGACTTTCAACCTTGTGGTTGGGAGTGGGGCTGGTTTTGTAGGCCCTAGGGCCTGCTTCTATGTATTTGTCAACATGTGATACATTCAGTTGATTAAATGGTTTATATATGGACTGATTTTCTTCCCTTCCTGCCATGGCTGGAACTTTGGGAACAGTCTGTCCTTACAGAGCTGCAATAAGAAATAACCAAAGATGAAGCTGGTCAAATATTTTCGTAACTTGCTTCCGTTGATTTTTTTTGTAAAACTTTCCCAAGACATTTTCAGACTTAAAAATAAAGTCGGTGTTACAGGTGCTGGTCAGCCTTCTTACTTGTACCTCAGGCACTGAGATAAAGGAGGAGGTCCAGGGCAATGCAGTGATATGTCTGTCAGGACACTCCCCCTCCCCTAAACTCAGTAGTAGTTGAGTATGACATTTACAGGCTAGAAAGACCCAAAATACCTCCGTTCCACCTGAGTGCTAGGTGGAAGTTGCATCAGCTGCTGCCCCAAGCGAGCTTCATCTTCTGATTGTGGGCTTTGGAGGAACGGGAGAACTGGCTCTTGGCCACTGTGAGGGGTACAGCTTTGCCACTCAAATATACCTTATTGTGGCATTCAGGGAGCCAGGGTCCAGAGCTGCTGGGCTGGGGTCCCTGGCTTACTTCCACATAGGCCATCACATAACCTGTCATAAAGGCATCAAAACCAGCCCGGTGCAATCCATCCCCAGGTACTGGGTTAGAACTGGCTTGGCTCCCTGGCACTTCTGAGGTAGCTGTATCAGCTATTTCAGGCCTTGCTGCCGTAACCCCCATCTCTACGTCATTTTTGTTGCCTTGGTTGGAGTGAGGCAGATTTCTAGTTTCATTCTCAGCCACCTCCTCAGTTTCTTCAGCCTTGAGGCTATCCCCACAGACCTGCTTCTTGGGAGGACCATCCTTAGCTTCCCCAGAGGTCTGTGTCCCTGCTAGGTTCAACAAAGCCCTCTTCCGTTTTTCCCTACGTCGTCGCCGTCGCCGCTTGTCCTCTGCTGCAGCCTCATCAGTGTCAATGATAAGGTCAATATCGTGGGACTGAGGACACTGTGGTCCCAGGGGGCACCAGCCATAAGCCTAGGGGTGGGAAAGAGGCTTAGAAAGAGGCTCCAGGCATCAGAACCTCCCCTCCCAAGAAATAGGTGGGTGCTCTCACCGAGAAGTTGTCACAGATGCTGGTGGGATGAGGACGGTGGGTTGCTGGGGGCAGGCAGCAACGGTAATCAATATGGTCCCTCATGCTGGAAGGATAGTTGCAGAACTCCAGGGTAAGGTGTGGGCTGCCAGCTGCCCGCTGCTTCCCATTTTCCCGTTCACTGCAACAGCGCAAGAGGGTAATGGTCCACTAGCATATAAGCTCCATAAGAGCAGGGTTTTTTGGTCTGTTTTGTTCACTGCTGAATCCTCAGCACCTAAAACACTGTCTGGGCACATGGTAGGAGCTCAATAAATATCTTAAGTGAATGAAATAAACTCATATCAGGCCCCACCCCTTTCCCTCAACCATTTCCTCACCATTTCCGGAAGGCATATTCTAAGTAGGAGGCCACGAAGCGGGCATGAAATTCAGCAGCATATTTGGTGTCATAAATGCCTGCTGGGAACATCTCACACAGGTCAGCAGTGAAGGTTCCCAGACTCTCAGGGAGGTGTGCATAGAAGTTCTGGTATAGGAACACCAAGTCTATAAGGCCATTGTGTAGCACCAGGGGCCGGCGGGCTCGGATTAGCTCCAGGAATAGGGTCCGTACTGACTGGCTCTGGCTCTCATCACCCTAGGTGAAAGTAAAGGGGTCAATGAGGAGGACAGAGTCCCCCAGGGAGCCTCTTCTGCTGGGCACTTATCCCAGGCTTGCCCACTTGGAATGCGCTCGCTCTCTCTACCCAATGCTACCTACCCTCCTAGCAGTCTTGTTTCCCAAGCCCTGTCACTAGTGATTCCCCATACTCCCTAAGAAGCAGGTTCTCCCCAGGCATCCAGCCTAGGATAGGAAGAAATAAAGTCACAGAAGGGCAGACTCAAGGCTAGGGAATCTGGAGGCCTACCTTGTCATTGCCCTTATGGTAGGGGATGCCTTGGGCATACTGCTGGTTGAAGTTGAAGCCATGCTGTATCAGGAACTGCACAGACTTTGGTTCTATGACATACTCCTCCATGCACAGCAGAGTGAGATTGAACACCTGAGCCAGATAGGAATGTTCACCCTGGGAGAAAGAGAAAGTCTGCTATATCAAGATTTGGGAGAGCCAAGTTAGGAGAATGTAAAAGCTTAAGAATGATACAATGGACTCGGCGGGGAAAGGGTGGAGGCAGGTGAGGGATAAAAGACTACACATTGGGCACAGTGTACACTGTTTGGGTGATGGGTGCACCAAAATCCCAGAAATCACCACTAAAGAACTTATTCATTTAACCAAACACCACCTGTTCCCCATAAACCTATTGAAAAAAAAAAAAATCTATCAAGTTAGAAAAAAAAAAACAGATTTGGGAGAAAAAAGCTTCATATCTGATGTTCCCCAGAATCTCTCTACCCTCCTCCCCACAGCCAGACCTAGGATTGGGGTGAGATCAGCTCATACCTTGTCTGGCTGTCGCTTGAAGCAGGCGAGGCCCAGGGAGAGGATAGAACGGGTCCTGGCAGCATGACACACAGCCTTGTAACGTTCCTCGATGCACCTTGGGGTTGGGTTTGGGGGTTGCTGTGGCTGGGAGTTAGCCTTATGAAGGACCCAAACCACCCAGGTCTGTGACCGCCCCCCTCCACAGTTGAGGGCTTGCACTAAAGAGAACAGGGCTTATACTTACTGGTTCAGCAAACTCTTCCTGTCCCCAAGCCCACTCAGCTCCTGTGGGGAGGTAAAGGGAGGGTTGACAGGCCTCTAGCACCAGCCCCTTCACAAACACCTGCCCTCCTTGTTTTCCAACTCTCACCGTGTCCACAGCCACGAAATTAGCTGTCTTTATGGCTAGCAGGAGGGATGGCCACATCTCTTTGAAGTTGTTGCTTTGCACATCCACTACGGGAACCCGGACTACTAGCTCCTCCCCAGATGTTGTGCTTTTGCTGACACCACCTGGGGGTTAAGAGGGTGATGGATGTTCATGCTTAAGGAAAGAGCCCAGGGGAACAGACAGCAAGCTAGGCCACGGTGATGGTGGTGAGGGGGGTAGTTTTCATTGGCAGCTTTTCCCACAAGCCTTTGTATCCCACGTGTTCTACACACAGGCCTTGGAGTGGAGAGTGCCCTGAATTTGGGGAGGAAGCCTGGGTCTTCCCGTGGCTTGTTTGAGTCTGGGTAAATTACTTCCCACCTCGCTGTCACAATATATAGAGGAGAAAGTTGGATTAGATGACCTTTGAGATTCTTTTTTCCTGGGTCCTGCAGGAAACATTTTGCAGGGCTTGAGGATCTCAGCTCCCTTAATATCCCACAGAATCCACACTACTGTTCTCATGGTGCCCCAGCGCCATAAGCAACAGTTCCCAGTAAGTCCCAGAGCCTGATAGTGCCACACACCAGAGCTGCCAATACGTCCTACCTTCCTTTGGACCACAATGCTCAATCCGCCCCACTGAACTGAATCACAACTATTATTAGTAACCGTTATGAGCTCCAGACTACATCTCCCGCCATGCCTCCATCAGCCCCATGCTCCCAACGCTCCAGGCTTTTGCAGCCCGAGCCGCGGTGTACAATGGGACTTGTAGTCTCCTCGTGGCTAGTTCAAGCGGAAGGAGCAGTCCTCTGAAGCTTGAGGAGTCTCTAGAACTATGAGCCCGAGGCCTTGCCCTCTCCCAGAGCGCAGAGGCTTTGAAGGCTACCCCTGGGAAGCCGCTCACCGTCGGAAGCTGCGGGAGCTGAAGCTGCGCCATCGTCACTGTAGGCGGCCATGACACCGCTCGTCTCCCGCCTGAGTCGTCTGTGGGTAAGCTGGACTTGCGCTCCGTCTCCTGGAGCGGTTCAGGCAGTCGGGGATGGCGCGGGGTTTAGCCGTCGGGTCGCCGAAGGGTCGGACTTCCGTTCAGACCTCCCGGGTCCGGCGCGGGGAAGGCAGCCCGACGCGCGCTAATTGCCTATTGGCCGGTGCTGCCGCCTCGCCGCCGGGATGGGCCCGAGCCACGCCCCCTGAAGTGCGCCGAAAAGCTGGGCGCGCTAGAGCGCGCTGGAGGTAAATTTTCTTTCCCGCATTCGCTGCGGGAACGCGGGGGTTGGGTGTACTGCTCTCTTCATCAGCGTGGGCCGGGGGTGGGGGGATGACTGGGTTTGGGCTTTCCAGAGAAGGTGACGCTGCCTGAGCTGAGCTTAAAGCACGCCCAGGAGTTAGGCTAGGAGAGGGTCGTGTGGGGGAAAGAAGGGTGTTCTGGGCATCGGTAAATTCCCAGAGAGGATGGAGAGCGCAGTGTTCTCCAGAAAGTGAAAGAGGCTGGGAGTAAGCCGTCGGAGGAGGCTGAGGAGGGTGTAGGGCGACCGACTGGTAGGGAAGCTTTTGAAATAATCCAATCAAGTGATAATGTGAACTTGAATTAAGGCTGGCAGTATGGATGGCGAGGAAGGGATAAATTGAAAAGCAACTAGGCCATATAGTCGACCTAGAGGGTGATTGAGCTTGAAAGAGATTTCTAGGCCGGGCGCAGTGGCTCACATCTGTAATCTTAGCACTGTGGGAGGCCGAGGCGGACGAATTACCTGAAGTCAGTTCAAGACCAGCCTGGCCAACATGGTGAAACCCCATCTCTACTAAAAGTACAAAAAAAATTAACTGGGTATGGTGCGGGCGCCTGTAATCCCACTAAGGAGGCTGAGGCAGGAGAGTCTCTTGAACCCGGGAGGCGGAGTTTGCGGTGAGCCGAGATCGCGCCATTTTGCACTCTAGCCTGGGCAACAAGAGCGAAACTCCGTTTCAAAAAAAAAAAAAAGAGGTTCCTATTGGAGACTAGTAGCTCCCTAAACACTCCGATTCCCATCCACCTGTGCCTTCCAATGCTCCTTTGTTACTCTTTGTTTATAGTTCATCTTCAGCTTCTCTCAGCTCAGCCCATTTCATCATTATTCAGAACTGCTTGGGCCTGGCGCAGAGGCTTATGCCTGTAATCACTTTAGGAGGCCTAGGTGGGAGGATCACTTGACCCCAGGAGTTCAAGACCAGCCTGGGCAACATAGTGAAACCTTGCCTCTACGAAAAAATATTAAAAATTAGTTGGGCATGGTGGTGCGCACCTGTAGTCCCAGCTACCTGGGAGGCTGAGGCAAGAGGATGGCTTGAGCCCAGGAGATCGAGGCTGCAGTGAGTCATGATCTCCCCATTGCATTCCAGCCTGGGTGGCAGAGCAGCAGAGTGAGGGACACACTGTCTATAAAAACAACAACAAAATAAAACTGTTTGGATTTCTCCTATCCTAAAAAAGGGAAACTCTTTTGACTATCCCCCATCCCATTAATTCATTTAACAAGCATTTATTGTGTACAGTTTACCTGGCACTGACTTTGGACACACACCAGTCAACAGAAGAAAATCAGTCCTCGCACTCAAGTCGCTTTTTACAGTCAAATTCAGGAAGTACACACTGATGGAAAGAATCAAAGTAATGTGAAATTACATTGGGGTAAGAGCTACAAGGCAGAAATACGTGATAGGATAAGATGAGGGGACCTGATCTGGACATTTCAGTCAAGACTTGAAAAATGATTAGATGTTAGGTAAAGCATAAAAGAGTCCAAACAGGAAATGGATTGTGTGAGGCCCCAAGATATACAGATACGTTTGAGGTGTTTAAGCAACTAAATTCAATCAACCTTGGCTAGAGCACAGTGAGAGGGGATGAGGCGGATGGTGCCCGGATTATTGGACCCACAAGGCCGTAGTAAAAGGACTGCCTTCTATTCTAAGAGCAAGGGTGTGGCAGCCAAATCACTCCAATGGCCTATAAGGGACTTTGTGACCCTCTCCTCCCCACCTCATTGGATTTACTTCTCTGACCTACCACTCAGCCCCATCTCATTCCATTCTAACCACATTGGCCTGTTTACTGTACCACAGACATAGCAGGCACCCTCCTTGGGGCCTTTGCACTCACTTAGAATGCTTTGGGTCTACCTTGACCACAGTCTTTAAAATTGCAACATTAAACCCCACCTTGGCACTCTTTTTTTTCCCCACTTGCTCTAATTTTTGCTTTTTATGCTAATATTTATCACCTAACATGTTATGAAATTTACTTATGTTCATTATTCCTTTTTTGTCCCCATTAGAATATAAGCTCCCTGAGGGCAGGAACTTTTGATGTTTTATTTACTGAAGTATGCCAGGTGCCTAAAACTGCTTGGCATCTATTAGGGGCTCCATAAATATTGCTCAATCTTTTTTTTTCTTTAAGAGACAGGGTCTTGCTGAGCCCAGGATGGAGTGCAGTGGCACAATCATAGCTCACTGCAGCCTCGACCTTCTGGGTTCAAGCTGTTCTTCACTTCAGCCTCCAGAGTAGCGGGATTACAGTGTTGAGCCACCACAACCAGCTTGCTCAAGAATTTAATGACCCGTAGTAAAGGCCTAGAGTATTTAAAAAAGAAAGAAAAAGGAAAACAGGAAGGAAGGAAAGAGCGGGGGAGAAAAGAAAGAAAATAAAAGAATATAATGGGGTGCCACACGGTGCCGTAGTTCATGCCTGTAATCCCAGCAGTTTGGGAAGCTGAGGCGGTTTGATTGCTTGAGCTCTGTAGGTTGAGACTAGCCAGGGCAACATGGTGAAACCCTGTCTCTAACAAAAATACAAAACTTAGGTGAGTGTGGTGGTGGTGTGCGCCTGTGGTCCCAGCTGCTTGGAGTTGGGGTTGGGTATGGGGGTGGGAGGATTGCTTGAGCTGAGGAAGCAGAGGTTGCAGTGAACCACTGCACTCCAGCCTGGGTGACGGAGTGAGACCCCATCCCCTGCCCCCCCAAAAAAAAGAATGGGAAGCCATTGAAGGTTATAAGGAAGGAAGTGACATGATCTGGAAAAGGTTCCTTTGCTCTTTGGAGAATGGATTGTAGAATGAATGTGGAAGTAAGCAGGTTTGGTGAAGGAAGTTTGGCTATGAAGGGAAGGAGGGTGGAACTTGATTGTGTACGAGTCAAGGGGAAAATCTTTCACTTTGCCCTCTGAAGATCTGCTGAAAAATCAGCTCACAAATAGCAGGTTAACTGGAGAAAAGGCATACAAATTTATTAACATGCACACTGGGAGAACCACAAAGTGATTACCCATCCCCCTACAGAGATCGTAAGTTTATATACCATCTGGCAAAACAGATTATGGGAGGGGTAGAAGAGAAATTCTGTTTTTCTGTTTTTGTAGAGACTTGCTATGTTGCAAGCCTAATCTCGAATTCCTGGGCTCTAGCAATTCTGCCTTGGCCTCCCAAAGTGCTGGGATTACAGGCCTGAGCCAGCATGTCCAACTCTATTTGTTTTTAAATAAACTGAACTTTGGCCAGAAGGAGATTCTGTTGAAGGGCAATAAAGGGTTACTAGGGAGACTGGAATGGGGACAGAGAATGGAATTGTTAATAGTTCTCTTTGGAATTTGAATGATCCTGAGGTACACAACACCTTGTGAAAGGGTTTGTTCAGGTATGGTTACATGTTAGTCTTAGCGAGGGGGGAAGAAAAACACAAGTATTCTTTTTAGTGGGTTTGGACTGTAGGCAGATAAAGAGTTCCAGAGGAACAACTTTGTCCTGGCTTTGGGAGAGTCTGTGGGGTGGAAGGAGCAGAGAGACCTTGAGGCTTTTTGAGTTCAGCATGTCAGAGTGCCATATTTTGGGGTATTGGTTTCTTTTTTTTTTTTTTTTTTGAGACAGAGTCTTGCTCTGTCTCTGTCGCCCAGGCTGTGCAGTGGCATGATCTCAGCTCATTGCAAGCTCTGCCTCCTGCGTTCAAGCGAGTATGTCCAGCTAATTTTTTTGGATTTTTAGTAGAGATGGGGTTTCACCTTGTTGGCCAGGCTGGTCTCAAACTCCTGACCTCAAGTGATCTGCCTGCCTTAGCCTCCCGCAGTGTTGAGATTACAGGGGTGAGCCACTGTGCCCGGCCTGGGGTATTGGTTTCTGAGTTCCAGCAGTTAGATGGGATTGGAGGAGCAGGACTCTGAAGAGGAGGAGGGTAGGACAGTGCAAATGGAGGTAGATTTGAAGTGTTTTTTTTTTTTTTTCTGAAGGAGGAGGCAAGCTCTTTTGATGAAAATGAGGTGGTAAAGTCAAAGTTTTTGGGGGAGAGTTTGATACAGAAGCTTAGCAGGGACTGCATTTTATCACAGTGTAAGAATGCTGGTTGTGGATTTGAAAGAACAAGTTGCTTAATCTCCGTAAACTTCAATTCCCTTATAAGTAAGATGGAGGTGATACTAGTACATACCTCATGGAGTCACCAGGAGATTGAGAGATCCGGTAAAGCTCTTCATGGGGTCTGACATAGAGTCAGCACTCACAAAGTATCAGCTAATTTTAGCTGTTAGAGAAAAGGCAGCCATTATAACAGTCCGGGAGCAGTGAAAATCAACCAGGCACATTTTCTCATTGCTGATGGTCAGCCACCTATGGTTTACTAGATCAGGAAAAGATTAGGAATAAAAATAGCTAATCTCTTATTCTCCCACTGATTTGCCATCTGTTCTCAGACAGATCTTTTGTCCCTCTGATCCCTAGTTTCTTCCAGGATAAAATGAAGGTTTTGGACTAGGTCACTACTAAAGGCTGTTTCAGTGTAACCATGCTACATCTCTAAGAGGCAGAGAAACCTCCTACCCCCATTTTCCCAGACACACCTAAACAACCCCTAAACACCTAAACACACAGTCACAGTAAGCATCAGGGATACACAAATGCTCCCAAACAGGAGGTTTTGGTCCTTGACCCATCCCAGCCCTGGCCTCTGTTTTTGCATGTCTCCAGGGCTGTAACGCTGGCCCCCTTGAGGCCACTTGCTTAGCTATACTAGTTGTATCTCAGTGCTGCAGCCAGCCAAGAGTAAACTCATGAGCATCTTGAGAGTGCTTAAGAAAAGCTGGACCCTATGTGAATGGTGGATCAGACGGAGATGGCTATCACCCTTGGAAGGCCTCAAGATTCTGCCTCATTGTGACTGCTTTGGCTGGGTCTTTTTGTTTCAGGCCATCATGAGGAAGCCACGAGCAG